TTTTCTTCCCCCGCCAGTGTTATAATAGTACGTAGATGTGTTTTTAAATTGTACTCATTTCCATACATAATTTTTCTGGTTACCATAAATCACCACATTGTCACCTACTCCCCCTACTCTATTCAGTGTAATCTTCACACTTTATACCAAGCTGACATATGGCTCTGAAGTAATTAAAGACAATGTAAACAGTTTACAGTGCACTTTGCAAAGCCACTTCACGTTGCAGAGAGTTTAATGATTTTCTTCTTCCCCCTCAGCAAGTCCCAAAGCAATGAAGAGTAGGAGGTTTGAGATAAAGATGGTGAGGAAAGTTAAGGTGTGAACACTGGCCTTTTCATTTCTAATGGAGAAACATCTGTTCTACAGAAAAGACCCTTTCCCTGTTAACTGCTGGTAGAACTAGAGGGCACTGGGTTAAGCTGGGCTAATGAATCATGCAGAAAGTGGTGATGCATGCACTCTCAATCATTCTAGCAGGAGGAAGGGGAGACAAGCCAAACACATCACTACCTATACTGTGTCAGACACAGAAGTAGGCTATTTAAGGTGCTTGACAACCCTCTGAAAAGAACAATATTATTAACATTTTCACAGATGAGGGAATGATGCTCAGAGAGGTTAAAATGCATATACAACATGGGGGCAGATCTAAAGGGAGAAGAAAATAAAGATGTCAGAATGTTAGCCAACTAGTCTTAAGTCCACGAATATGAGGTATGTCTCACTTTGCAATATCTTTTTCTATTACTTACCCACTATATTGCCTTAGCAAGGAACTTGATCAATAAAAGCCTGTTTCCTCATCTGAAAATGTCACTAGTAATGAGACTTATCTCCTCTGTGACTGGAAGATGAAAACCATAGTGCTTGATAATGGTAAGCCTCCTTGTGGTGCCCCATCCTCCAGCATGTCTCCTCTTACTCCCATCCATCTCAACACAGCAACTGGAGTGATGTTTCCTGAATTATTCATGATGATATCACCTTTCATGCCTCTGCCTACACCCAGACATTCACATAGACACACACTCTTACTCAAACACACACATTCCATACCTTACCATTGCTTTTAACATAAAAAGGAGATCCCTTAACACAGGTAGGCCTGCTGCTCTGCATAAATGAGCTTCATGCATGCTCTCCTTTGCTCTGCTAGCTGTCTTTTAGTTCATAAGATGCACCATGTTACACAGCCCACCATGAGCTTTGGCACATGCTCTTTCTTCTCACTAGAATTCCTTTTCACTCTGCCACTTTTAGTTGGACACTTCTCATCCTTCTGAACCCCATGACAATACCACTTCCCCAGAAAAGCTCTACCTCCCCTTTCCAAGCAGGGCAAATCTGCTACTATACATATACTCTCAAATTACCACTAGTCTCTACATAGTGACTATCATTTTAGCAATTTTACATATACTTATATAATAATTTAACTTCTAATAACACTATTGGACTATAAGTTCTACGAACATAAGGGCATATTTGTTTTTTACTCAGCATTTAATCTATGGTGTCTCACACAGACTCAAGTACATACAATAGATATATAAGTGAATTAATAAAAATGAATGAATGAAGATAATTAGTATACAGAGACAAGATATCTAAATATAAAAATAATACACTAAGCAATATGAATGACAGTGATCAATAATATTAGAATTGATAGGTATATGAATATTGGCTGTGAATCTGATATGATGTAGACAGCTATTTAGTTATAATTTAAAATATAAGCCAAAACAAATGCATCAGAAGCTATGTATGAAGTAAGTGATAATGAATATTATATTTGTTAGGACTCTTTTTGTTATGAGTGGCAAAAGAAAATAAACTCTTAATGGGCTTAAGGAAAAGAAGGGAATTTGACAGCTCATTTAATATGATGTCCAGAAAAGAAGAATGGCTTTAGAAACAGCTCTATTCAGGTTCCAGAATCTTTGGCACCTGGGCTCTCTCCCCCTCAGATTTCCCTTCTGTTATGTTAGTTTAATCTCTCAGCCCTACCTCTGGTGGTGAGATGTTGGCAACAGGCCTGGCTTCACTTTTTCTTGGGGTTTGATTTAAAAAGAAAGACCTGAACTTGTCCTTGCTCAATCCCATAAAATCCTCAAGATTTAGCATGGCTTGCTTAGATTGCACAGCCTCTTGGAACAACCATTGCAGCTAAGAGATTCTGATGCTGGAATTGGTTTCACCTGTCATGGGCTCCATCCTTGGAGTTGGAAATGCCTACTCCAACTACATGGACTTGGTGTGAAGGAGAAAAGACCTACAAAAAATTGAAGCCATTGCTAGGAGAAAAATGGAAGCAAAAATACTGGTAGTTGAGGAACTAACTATGTCTACAAAGAAAATCAGTCCTGTTGTCATATAAAAGAGAAAGTTCTCTGTGGCTTGAGTGGTTGGGGAAGGTTTCTGGGATTACACTGAGACTGGAAATGTCAGTAGGATTTTTACTGGCAGGAGTTCTGCTTTTACTATATTAACAGTGGAAGACTTACTGTATGCCAGGCACTTATGGAAGCTTGTTACATTCATAATTTTTTTTGTCTTCCCATGGGAAGTTGTTAAATCTGGTAATTGTGGTGTTGCTGGGACACATGGTAGAATAATTAAATGGTATTGAGGTATTCCCAACTCAATAGCAAGTGGGCACAGGCTGAGGAGTGGTCAAAAGCGAAGAACAGGGAAGTCATAGATGCAAGTAGTGCACATGTGTAGAATGAATGAAAGAGACCATGATTTGTGGAAAGGGAGACATCGAAGATGAAACCGACATTTATTAAAGTCAGGAAACTGGTTAAAAAGTGGAGGAGGAAGTGAAGGAGGTTGGTTGAGAAAGGAGATGAGAACTTATTAATAGCCAATGATAAAAGGTGAGACAATGGAGTGCAGGTAAGCCTGGAAACTAAGGAGTGCAGAAAGTTCCTTGGAGTTCAAATCAGGTGCCAGGACCTCTGCTGGGTATGCTTTAGGGTACAATAAGCATTAAAAAACAAGATCACTTTAATTTTATTTTTGACATTTCACTGTTTCAGTGCAAGTCAATTAATGAAGACATGAGGAAGAAATGGACATGTGTTACATGGCTGTGTTATATAGCTGGCTGCTCCATCTCTCAGACTACTAGTATAGGCTCAGTTCAGTCAGCAGCCCAACCATCAGAAGGTCTCATCTGATTCTCATCTCAACTGACCCCAGTGAGGGGTCAGTTCCACTTACTGGACTGAATTTTATTAACGTGTATTATTTGTTATATATGATGTTCTCATCTCCAAAATATCTTACTATGCAATTATAGGGAAGTTTGGTAACCCAGGGGTACTCAATAGTCATCTAATCTATGTTAGTTTTATACCTAGCAATTGGCTAATCCACCCAGGAATATACCTTGAGCCCAAAGCTTCCAATTCTATGACTTTCTGGGTAAGCTCAGGTCAAATGAGTGCCCTCATTGAAATCCTTGCTGTGTTGAATGTCCTCAACAAGATAAACTCTGGAAAACAGTGGCTCTTACATTGAGCTCTCATTCAACTTGTGAATAGAAATTCAAGAGCACAAAGGCCCTCTCTTCCTACACAGCTAAGGAAGTCAAAGCCCTGGAGGAAAAGGTAATTTAACTGAGGCTTCCCAGTAAGTTTATATTAAAACTAAACTAACACTCACACTCACACTCAAGATTCTGACTATTCTCTTCTAAACAGGGGGTTTAATTTCAGAAACACATTGTCACCCTTTTGGCTTTGTGTTCCATTTATTAATAGATTCCTTTCTCAGTTCTCTAGGCCTCCGCAAATAATACTCTTAAAGAGGTTGGAAAACAACTAAGAAGAAAATTGAACAGCATCGAGAAGGAGACACACATGAACTGGAGGGTAGCATCCATCTTATAACAATAATAAAATCACTCCTTTCTGAATTCTTGGTTTATCTGTAGCTGCACTTATTGGCTGTGCCACATCAGAGAACACATCTCCTCCTCCTAAGGGATCAGAAGCCTTCAAAGGGAAAGTAGGTTACTCTTGAAGTGTGGGAGGATTTGCCCTGTTTTTTTTTTTTACTTTTGTACCCCACTTTGTGAAAACCCTACTTGGATCAACCCTAAGTTAAATCAGCCCAATGAAAATGCTTGCTCTGATGAAGGAATCCTCTCATTTCAAAGGAAATCTCTGTCGATGATGCAAACTTTCCTAATACTTATAAATATTTATATATCAACGACCACTTGCCTGGAGGCATAGCTTTGGAAATGAGGTTTAGAGAATTTCTAAAGCACAAATGTTAGGCCTTGAGGTTGATTAAAATTTGACCAGAAACAGTGTAAAGTATCTCTGAAAGAGAAAGTATGTGAATAGAAAAAAAAATTACTTTACTTAATGAAAACTTATAGGGACTTTGGGAGCAATACTTTAAAAAAAAAAATGAGGATTTCTTAGATTGACCCTTTCCTAATTTCAAAAGCCACTTTTGGAAAGCTCTTACACTATTGTTTAGGAAGCACAATTAGCAAATAATATGAGAAGGGATGCAAAAAGCTTGTTTAGCATATCAGTTTGACTTCTAAGTATAGTTGTTGTCATGTTGAATTGGTTCCAGGACTCCCATTGGATGCCAAAATTCAGGATATTCAAGTCCCTTATTTAAAGTGATGTGCTATTTGCATATAATCTATACACATCCTTCCATACATTCCTGTATCTTCCAGTATAAACTATCTGTAGATTGCTTATAATATATGTAAATATAATATAATATATGTAAATCTATATAAGTAGTTGTTACACTGTGTTGTTTAGATAATGAAATAAAAATTCTGTGCATGTTCAGTAGACACATTGTTTCAAATATTTTCAAACCATGGGTAGTTGAGTATGCTGAGGTGGAACTCATGGATATGGAGAACTAAGTATACAGAGTATCAAGCTAGATATGATCTGAGGTTGCTCCCAGTAGCCCAACTGAGGCATTCACAAATGGTGTCAGGTACATACATTTTCTCCAGCTCTCCAAATCCTGAAAATGCTCCTTTTGGGATGACTTGAAGTTTGGTAAGGACAAACCTCCTGGAAAGAGAATGGATATAAACTATTACAATCTATCCATTAATAAGTAATTGAGTGCTTAATATATGACATCACTTAACAGCCACCTGTACTGAGTACCTGCCGTAACAAGGATTGAAATTGCTTTTATATCATCTCTTTTCATCATCACCACAAAGTGGTAATATGGGCATTGCTATTCAACTTCATTTTGCTTGATGAAATGAGTTTAAACAGGATGAAAAACTTACCCAGGGGTCACATGGCTGATATGTGGCAGGGCTGTGCTATGAACCTTGCTCACCGCTACTCTATGTTTGTTTCCTATTGCTCTATGTGAGGGCCCTTCTATTTCTGTACATCAACTCCCCTTCCAATGTTTCTTCCTTTATTTCATGCTCATCTGATTTTGCATCCTATAAAAGGAAAATGAAACCAATGAGACAGCTTCTCTCTCTCACGTGGCTCATTGCCTGGAACCCATTTGCTCCTGAACTTTACTCATCTGCCCTTCCTCCTATTACCATGGGTAAGCTGTCCAGGGTCCTGTCTGAGAACAGTCTCTCCAATTCACACTCCATCTCTTATCCTCTCTTCTCATCCTTGTAACTGCTTTAGCAATTTCCCCTTTCTTTCATGCGTTTCATGCATTTATTTTCCTCCTATTTTTCAATTCATCTTATCAATATAAAGACATACTGTAAATTCTCCCATCTGAAAAAGTCTTCTCTTCACCTCAGCCACCTCTAGTTTTTGCCATTTTCTTCTATTTAAAATACTTGTTTCAACCCCTACCACAAAATTCCTGCCAATGGCTTCTCATCTCACGCAGGGAAAAATACTAATTATTTACAGTTGCCTTTAGTTCTCCATTGGGGTTTCCTGCTCTCTATCCTCATACACTCTCTAACCTCATTTTTTTCAAAGTTTGTAAACAGTTGAACTCATTTTAATAAAAGAGTTTACAGTGCATGTCCTAAGCTATATCTTCAGATTCATTCTCTCAACATGCCTGTACAAGTTCACAACAATAAGGCTTGAAGTACAATGGGAAGAATGACCTCTTCAGAAGGATGAAAAAAACACTTTATTAGAGTCCCCTTTGCTCATCCTGATCTTGTCACTGTACCATCTTGCTATTCCTTGGACACACTGGGTTTCTTCCTGCCCAATGTTTGTGCAAATGCAGTTTTCACTGGAACATTCTTATCTTAGATATCCTCATGGCTTGCTCCCTTGACTCCTATTTACTCCTGTCACTTTCTCAGGGAGGCTTTCCTTGGCCATATTATTTAAAATGATAATTCCCTCAATGTAGCTTCTGGCCCACTTTCCAGCTTAAATTTTTCTTCACGATACTTCTGACATGTTCTATATTCTATTTATTTGCCTACGTATTCGTGTATTTATTTATCTCTTTCCATAACTAGAATGTAAGCCTCAGGAGGGTAGGAATTTTCATCTGCATTGTTATTGCTATATGCTTAATGCCTAGAACACTTCCTGGCATATGACATTTACTGAATGACTGAATGCTGGATATGGGATATCTGAAAATTTTAGGCTTGGGGGTAAAATTGCAAGTGACCCTTTGGGAATCTCTACAACAGAAATACTTCTCTTTACCTGGCTTCCCTCTGGATTCTTCTTGTTTTGTGGCTGATTAAAAAGGATTTGGTTTCCATCCTATTTTAACCTTCTCTTCTATGAGGCAGTCTATAACCAGGAATTATAATCAAACCCTGTGTGGACTGGAGAGCTTAATAAACAGTCCATTGCTTTAGACTCTTGTCACTTACTGCTGAAACCTATTTCAGATGGAGTTGCTACTGAGGTTCTTTTCTTTCCCTTTGTTTAGACTACTTTGGTCAACATATACACCTCTATAAAACTATTTAAACAAAAGTGTTCAACTTTAGGATTAGGTGTAATGGATCTGGAAAAGTATCTACTTCTAGAAAATCCATCTAAAAAGAATCATGGTTAGCTCACACTACCTTAACTATTTCCACTTAACCTTAGTTAACATGTATTTGTTCCTATTTATTGAAAATCAGAAGAATGATGAAAACACACCAAGGAAAACAAGTAATAAGCTAGGAGATGTAACTCAGTTGTACAACACTTGCCTAGCATGAGCAAAGCCCTGGGTTTGAGCTCAAGAACTGCCAAAAATTGCTAAACTACTCAAAGTTTCAAGTGAGTTCGAAATATCAAAGTAAAATGTTAATTAATAAGGCATACAGCCAGTGAGATCTTGGAACAATTGACTCTTATTTCATACCAAGCCAAGTAGGTACCCCTTTTGATTCAGCCCTAATAGAAGAGATATTTTCTAAAAATTCAGAGGACCATGACTTCAAACTTATTAACACAAAACTTTTTGAATATTAAAAATCTTGATTTCCATTTTCTGAAACATTATAAACTAGATATTTCTACTAAAAATCAACTAGAAGCCTTCTGTAACTTAATAAAAATATCATTTCTGTATGCATGGCTGAGCTTGCAAAGAAGTGTGAAAAATTCCAAAGGGCCCAAAGAATGGAATTGAATCCTGGATGCATCTCTGAGCAGTTATGAATGCAAACCAGGATTTGAAGAGGGTAAACTGAAGTCAATGTTTCCTGAGGGGAGCTTCCAGACTTCTTAGCCAAGGAATTTGTATTTTAGTGGTACATGAAATGAGACATGGAAAATGAAATACACATTTTTTTCCTCTTCCTTCCCTCCCTCCCTCCTTCCTTCCTTTCTATCATTTCATATGCATTCTAGAATGAAAGGTATAGTAAACCAGTTTTCAATGAAATAATGTCCAGAAATGTCCCATAACTTATGAAAGATATAAATGCTCAGATTCAAAAATCTCAAGAAGTCTCAGAGAAGGAAACAAAAATTCACTGCCAGATACCTGAGTACTGAAACTGTAAAACCATAATACAAAACATTTTAAATGCAAATAGAGCAAAAGGCAAAATATCTTCAAAGAAAAAATAATTAGTAAACTTTGTAAAAACGTCTGCAAAATTATTAGAGAAAGCAATTGCCAATTTAAATTATATAGCTAGAAAATTAGCATGCAAATATAAGGGTAAAGATACTTCTGGATATATTTAATTAGTCACTAATAAACTTTTAGCAAAACACAATTCCTTTAGAGGATAAGAAAATTTAATATAGTAGGAAGACAGACAGACACACACATATACACAAATATGAAGTAATAGTGAGCAAAGGAAGTAATGTTTCTAATAGTGGGTTTTCATAATGGCTAGAAATGACACTGAGTCAATAAGGAATGCTAAAAACATATTGACCAAGGACTAGATCACAAAACAAATTAATATAAAAACAATTTATGTTATTTGACAGTGATGTAGATAAATTATTTAGAAATCAGTAGTAAGATAATTAACTTCCCTTTCCCAAGCACACGTACACCCATCTGGAAAAACCAAAGTAAAACAAAATAAAAACACGCTTTAAAAAATTATCATATTATTTTTGTACTAGGGGTACATTGTGACATTTAAAAAAGTGCTTATGATATATTTTAGTTAAATTCATACCCTCTATCATTCTCCTTTATTTCCCCTTCTTAGAATAGTTTCAACAGGTCTCATTTTTCCATTTTCATGCATGAATACATAATATTTCTGTCATATTTATCCTCCCACACACTTTTATTATATCTTTCCCCCTCAGATGGGATCTGTTTTACCTTTCTATCCTTTATATTTGAAAAACAGACATTTTTATTTGTTTAATATAGCTATACAGAGAGTTTGATTATGACACTTCCATGTATATGTGTACTATATCCTGAGTTGGTTCATCCCCTCCATTTTTCTCTTTTCTTCCTTAGTCCCCTTTTTATGTTGACTTCACCAGGTTTAAGAATTCTATATTCATGCTTATATAGCTTATATACATCAACCTCAGTCAAGTTCTTTACTCATTGTTCAGTGGGACTTTTGCCTTGGTATTGCACCTGTACATGCATTGCAGTTAAATCAATGTAACCCCCTTCCACTGCATCTCCTTCCTCATTTATTCAATGACCTACTGATCATGGAGCAACATGTTGTTCAGTGGCTAGGTGTTTCAGTATTTTCTGGTGTTTCTTTTTATTTGTGGAGTTCTAGTTTTATTCTGTTGTGATCAGACAGTATGCAGGTAGTTATTTCAATTTTCTTATATTTGTTAAGACTTGCTTTGTGACCTAAAATATGATTTATTTTGGAGAAAGTTCCATGGGCTGATGAAAATAATGTATGTTTTTTTATTGCTGGATGGAATACTCTGTAGATGTCTGTCAGGTCCATTTCATTGATGGTGTCATTCAATTCTAAAGTTTCTTTGATTTTTTTGTCTGTATCACTATTGCTGATAGTGAAGTACTGAGGTCTCCAACTATCACTGTGTTGGGACCCATTGTGTTTTTAAGTCCAGTAGTACATGTTTAATGAAGTTGAGTGCACCAACACTGGTAACAGATAAGTTAAGAATTTTTATTTCCTATTAGTATGAAGTGAACTTCTTCATCTCTTCTGACTAATTTAGGTTGGAAGTCTACTTTATCTATATAAGTATAGCTACTCCTGCCTGAAAAACACACTTTTAAATCATACATGGGCCAAAAAAGAAATTCAATTATAATTAGGAATTATTTAGATCAAAGTATAATGAAAATATATCAGATTTATGGGGTGTAGCTAAACTCTGACTTATAGGGAAATTTTTAGCTTTAAATGATAACAGAAAAGGAAACAAAAAGATGGAAAATTAATGAGCTAAGCTAATTTGTGGAAACAAAATCATTAAGTTCTACTTTATTTCTGGCTTCAACTTAAAGTAAAACTCCAGTACTCCCTTTGTCCCCCTGTAAAAAAAGTATTCTTTGCTTCTTTAAAGGAATAGAAACATCCCAATCTTATATAAGCTACCCCCAGAGACTACCACAGCCAAAGAAGAAATGTGCTCTCACCCATCCCATTTTATGTGGTTACTGTAAATTGGTA